TAAGCCTTTTCACATGTTCAAATTGTCTTCACATTTTGAACGTTAGTGAGCTGGAAACTTTTGATGGGTAGATGTAGAGCCTGAAAAATAAATTTGACTTTCAGTAACACTTGAAACTGCCCAAACCAAACTTTAATTTTAAAAACTCTGTGGCTTACTATAAGAGAATTTGTGTTTTTTATTGTCTTTGATTGCATTGCTTACCCTCTGGCAGGCAAATTTCAGGGTACTTGATAGCTATTTGTCTTATTCTTGCACAGTATTTTTTTTTGTATAAATTTAATACAGAATTCAACCACGCATGATGCTACCAATGAAATTAACTCAACTGAACTAAGTAATGATAGGATGATTAGACACCAGTGCATGTTTAAATTGTTTTTGATGTAGTTTTGTGGTATTGAGTGTATCTAATTTTTAGGAAATTGGGATCATAATATACAGCTTTTGAATCCATTTTTCCTGAGTCCCCTAAATAACAAAGGGTGGTGGAAAATTATAGCCAGTGGTGGCAGACTGTTCTGACCATTCTGGCTTTCAATCTGGTCTCAGGGTTGGTTTCCGTAGGATATTCCTGCTGTTAACAGCTCTTTCCCCTTTACCACTAGCTTCATCATTTGGATTCCTAGAATGTTATTTGTGTACGGGATTGGGCGGGAAATAAAAATGGGGAGAGGACAGCGCAGACATTTAGCTGCTTGGAGGCCTTGATGAATGAATGCTTAGTATGTTATTAGAAATTGCCATGTGGAGGAAGACAACTAATATGTGAAACAGATCAGTGGAATTGAGAAGATTCAGCTGAAAGTTTTGTTTTACAAATATTTTTTCTTTTTTTTATTGTTCCAGTTGCAGGTAATCAGTTTTTGTTGTGTTTTCAGTCATGTGCTAAGCAATTTAATTTGGGCTTTATCTGTGACTTTCTTTTGCCAAGAAGTTCATTTAATAAACATCTTTCTGAGCAGATTAATTATGTTAGGATTATTATGTTTTTCTCTTAATTCTTGGAATGATTTCCCCAAATTCTCCACAAATTTTGAAATTCATTTGTAATTTCTATTTGTTAAGGATACCAGGTACAATTTCTTGAATTTGTTTCTGGCAACTAGGTTCTAGATTAGATTTATGTTGCTACTTTAAATTATAGGCACATTTTTGTTTGTTTGGCTTGTACCTTTCCTGAGGGAAAAAACCCATAATCCATTAACTTTTCAGGAAACTATAAATCAATAAATTTACTTCTAGAGATTGCAGGGTAGTAATTTTGAAGATCAGTCAGAATAAACTGTTGTACTGTTTTAAAGGATTTTTGCATCTTAAAAAAACAAATTTCTCCTAATTATGTGTAGTGGGTAGATTTTAGAAGATGTCTGCTGAGTTAGCAGTGTCTATTTCTATGCTAAAATCCTATTCTAAAGTTAATACTTCATCTACTTCAGGTAAAATGTTCTGAAATATAGATCGTAAAAGCAAAGCTTCGGACACAAAACCAAAGCCTGCCAACATTTATAGCATCACAAGAAGTAAAGCAAATGGATTTAGTTTATGTAGTATACGAAATAGTTGATAGTTTTACACTAATTTTATAATGTGACTGATCACATGCTCTTGAATTTTGTTTTAATGGCAAAATATCAGCCTTCATTTGCCACTTCCTGGAGGTGGTACTAAAATTACTGGTTATAGCCAGGCTCGCCTAAACATTTTTAAAATAAAAATCCACTGTTAAGCTCTCCCTTACCAATATGATTTATTTGTGCTGTAATACAGTCTCTGTTGTGTTTTATTTTCAAATATGTATGTACCTATTCCCACATTATATCATGAATAATGTAATAACTTAGTCAACTTATGGGTCTTAAGAACTGTGTATTTTCTGTTCACTGTTCTTAGGTCTTTTGTGGTACAGCAAGGTGAACAAATAAGTCCCTGGTCTCAAGAAGTCTGGTAGGGGAGGCATGATAAGAGAATGAGGCACTACACAGTTGTAATAAAGGAGGCTCATATGTGTCTCAGTGGGTAGTGGGGTAAATAATCAAGGGAGGAAGCTGATTTGGGCTGAATCTTGAAAGAGATGGGCTAGATTTGTGGCCAGAACGATAGTAGAAGGAAATTTCTGGTAGATGAATGAGTAATGTTATGGCAGCAGAAGTGTGCAGAAAACAAGAGGGACTTCCGGTGACATGCTATGGTAAGCGTAGGAGATGTGGGGCAAGTGAGATTATAAAGGCAGGTGTAATGGATACATATTTTGGTTTTTTTGGATGACTTGAATTACCTTAGTACAAATAGTTTTAATATACATTTTGTCAGATTATCTTAAATACACCTTTGATTTTTGTAATTCTTTTGTAGAATATATAATTCTATCTTAAAATTCAGATAATCTATTTCGTAAACTGAAGAATTACGTGATATGCTTTATAAATGCACTCCACAATGACCAGGGCATGGCTAAATGAGTTGACTAGGAAAACAGCTAATGTAGAAACCAAAATATTTTCAAAATCCCTCTGTTTTGGGGCGCCTGGGTGGCTCAGTCGATTAAGTGTCTGACTCTTGGTTTCGAAGCTCAGGTCGTGACCTCAGGGTGGTGAGATGGAGTCCCACGGCGGGCTCCATGCTCAGCGGGGAGTCTGCTGGAGATTCTCTCCCTCTGTCCCTCCCCCTACTCAATCTCTCTTTCTCTGGAATAAATAAATTTTTTTTAAAAAGGTAATTCCTCAATTTTTCAGATTGTATCGTAATGTGCAAATGGGCATACCTGTTGACATATTGTTTTCCACTGATTTATTTTCCCTTCAAATCCTAGAATGAGAGATTTATTTAACCACTTAAATGTTTATTAAGTTACTATTATGACCCTTTCCCTTAAGGAGGTATACTCTAGAAGGAAAAGCTAAATGAATCAATGAAGAAAATAAAAGTAGAGAAAGGATAATCGGAGAAAACTGAGATTAAAGACCTGTATGAGTGTGATGAAAGTAAGACTCACTAATCACAGAAAAGTAAGAGAAGAGAATCAAGCAGAGGAGGAACAGAAAGACTAGCAACTCGAATGATCTAATTTAGAATTTTCCAAAGGTAGATTTGTGTGAGTTTGTGTGGTATGTGTGTATACACTCTAGTAGTGAAAACAAGTATCCATTTGGGTACAGGGCTCTATTAGTCTATTTATGTTCCTTTTTAAATTTTAAAAACTAATTATTAATATTTAACATAGGGGTTCAAATTTGTACCCTTATTCAGTCCGATGTCAGAAAGTCCTATCTAAGGTGGCGCATAAAGGGATTTGGAAGAGTGGAAGCCCCACGGAGCAGCAGTGGCCTTCCCAGTCCTTCACTCCATTTCTGGGACTCGCCATGTGTCTGAGCTTACTTTTGTAAGTTTACTTGTGTTTGATCATAGATTTATGGCTTATATTATCTAGTTTCAATCAGACCCCACAGAACAGACTAATAATTTAAAGATTTCTGCAAAAGAAAAAATGTGAATGTAAGAAAAGTGACTAGGATTAGGAAACAAGATAATGGTAGAGTTGATACTTAAACCACTGGAATGAGCTTTTCACCTGCCACAATCTAATAATTTTAGAAGATGGTTAAAATTATAAGAGATTATCTAGAAGGATATTTGACATATAGGCACACATTTTTTTTTTTTACTTTTGTTTTCTGTGTTTTAAAATGTATGTGATTCAGTAGCACATGTTAATTATTTATAAATAAGTAGAATGAATGTATGCCAGAACTTTTCTCTGATAAGGGTACTCTGCCAGTTTTTGGGTAATAAGTAGCCCTATATAGCTTATAACTCAAAAATTCACGAAATCTTAATGATAGAACAATTGGTGTTTGTAACAGATAACCCAGAGGTAAACAGAGCCTAGTGGAGATTTGTTTGGACTCAATCATGATGTCTGTAGAACATTTCTTTGGTAGGTGTTAGAAAGGGTCTTCCAGCTACTTCACAAGTGTCTCGTGCCAGAACACCTTGGTGGTCACCCCAGTGTCTTGAAGTACCAGTGACTGGTGGGATATTGTGTGTTGACGGAGCTATCTATAATTTCAGTGTGTGTGCCATGTTTAATAAATATTATTTTAATTCCTAGGTATTATAACTTGCCTACCTGGAAGTGCTATAGTGGCACTGAAGTTTAGTATGGCCACGGAGTGTGCAGTGAGCACAAATGAGAGTTCTAGTGAATTAAAGATAAAATCAGAGAGGAGCAAACTTCAAGGGATTAAATTCTTTCTCCAGTTACTCAGTGTATTTGCTTAGTTATCTTTTTGGTGTTTACTGACTTAATTCACCAGTGAGGTATAGGAGGTAAAGCTCCTGCTTTCTTTCTGTGGCATCCGCTTGCCCTCTCGTGTGAAATTGTGCTCGAGCCCAGCACCTGGGGGAATCTGCCGTGGTCAGCATTCCACCTGAGAGCCGCTGCCGTGACGCGGTGTGCGAAAAACACCTCGTATATTGACACACAAGGCTCACAGAAAATAACGTGCTGTGGCTTAGCAATTCAGATGACTGGGTAAACTCTGTAAAACGTAAACTCTGAAGAGATGGAACCTTGAAATCAATCATGCATTTGTCTTTATTAAACAATATGTAGAAGGTCAGTTGATACCAGTCTTTATGGCTCATGAGCCTAGATTATGAACACACTATCCTGGGCCCTGTTGCAGTAGTATTTGCACAAGTTAAGTTGAATGGGGGTGAGTGTACACTTTGTGCAAATTCATCTCTTCCAGTCTGATTTTATTCATTGTGTCAGCCTTTTAGAGGAATGTTGTAAAGATTCAGTGCCTGCCACGTACTACTCAAAAGTTGCTGCTGTTGTTCATGATGACAGTGGTTGAGGGACAGAAGGATAATCACTGGTGATGGGGACCTTACAGACGTACATAGAATTTGAGACATGAAAATTGGGTATGGGAAATTTCTTAAGCTGAACTTGTTTTAGGGCACACTGAATATTTTACTTTCCTTTTTCTCAGCATCAGCAACTTGTGATTGGCGGTACCGGATATTCAATTGCACATCCCCACATCAATGCACTGCCAATGGTAAGAATCCCTCCCACTCCCAATGCTAGTGTTTTAATTGGTCTTTTGATTATTCTCTTATTTGTAAGCATCTATCAAGAATCTTTAAAGTTTCTCACAGTTTGACAAACTACATCTATGCCCTGGAGTAAAGAAATGTTTTAAAAAATATGTGTAATGTAAGGCACTTAAAGTAATTTTTGATTATTTAATTAAAAAAGAAAAGGGTGAACCCATAGTTTGCAGATTTCCATTATCCATAGATTTTATAACCTCTTGGCTATGGTTGCCAGGATGAAAAGTATTATATAGCAATAATCTTGTATTTTAACAAGTGGGCTCTATTTTGTGAGTACAATTTTCTTGTTAAACTAAAGCTTAGGCTCAATAACAGCTCTTGTGTTTTTGTCAATCATCTTACTTAAAATAGTATTTTTGCATATTGTATTTATCTTAATATTTATAGATAATGGGCAATTAAATGGCTAAAATTTTACCTGTTTTTAGAGAGTGAATGATTTTCAGGAGAACCATTCTTACTATTTAAAAAGATCATTTTAGAAACCTTTCTCTGTGGAATAACAATCTGTGAACTATGTTATACAGCACAAAACCACTCTGTAGGAGTTGAGATTCGCTTTCATTTCTGCGTGTGTCTTGGATGACTTTTGGCAAAAACTCTTGTAAAATTAGATGATAAAATCGGACAGATTTCTAAAGTTTATTCTCACTGTAGGCTAAGTGATCTCATTACTGTTAACTAAAATCAGAATGATTCTCCCATACAAAAAATAATTCCTTACCTAAATGGTATTGGTATGTATTTTAGGGTTCAATAAATGTAGAAGAATGAATTTTTACTTTTTGGGTTTTTTAGAATTAATTACTTAACGATAATCTATTTCAAAATATTTTCTATAGTACATTATTAAAATTTTTAATTAATCAAATTTTTATTTTATTTATTTATTTTTAAAGATATTTATTTATTTATTTATTTGACAGAAGCAGGCTCTCGCTGAGCAGGGAGCCCGATGAGGGGCTTGATCCCAGGACCGTGGGATCATGACCTGAGCTGAAGGCAGCCGCTTAACCGACTGAGCCACCCAGGCGCCCCTCAAATTTTTATTTTAAACATTAAATCAAGGAGCTATAGAAACTGATAAAGGCTCATAGAATTTGGTGGGAAATAGTAGATGCATCAGTCTGAAATAAAAGCTACTAAAAATTAACTAGAAGCAGGATAGGTGGGTGAGATGAGTCACCTGTGAACATATTCCTAGGAAATGATTCATTTTAAAGATGGACTTGTCAGTATGTTGTTTAAGAGGAAGATCTCCTCTCCCTGTTCCTTCTCTCAGCAGTTAATGGGGAATGTTGAAGAAAATAAGAATTTTTTGTACGGCCTTAACCTAGCATGAAGGATCCATGGTTCTTCATTAATTTATGAGACCCTTGCTGGGTTCTTTAAGGTGCTTGGGTGACTCATTAACCACTGTTAAATCTGCTGTTTTCTTTGGAACATTACAGTTTCTCATGCAAGAAACAGCTCTGTGGTAAATCAACTCCATCATTTGGATTACCTGCCCTTGGGCTTTATGTTTGAAGTTCACATTTGAAACCCGTTGGTTTTCTTGATTGTTGGAGCCTTAATCTATGGCATGTCCCCCTTGAGAATCCGTTGTGAAGGCCTCTTGGGTATCTGAGGTGCAGGTGTTGTGCAAGTGGTTCTCTCTTCTAAGTGCTTCAGGTGAATTTTTCAGCGTGCCCCTCACAGAGACTATACATTGTGTTGTTTTTGGAACAGCTCTTAGACTGTATTTCAAATCAGATTATTTTCAACTCATTTGTCAGTTTCGTTGAGAAGTCCTGAAATCATTTTTAAGTGATGATCGCAGAAATTTATGTTCAATTATGTTCTAAATAAGTGTTAGTGTTAGAGATGAAGAAGGCCAAGATCCCAGCAAACTTGCTTGTGGTCTAGCTGAGGACACCACAGCCATTTGTACACATTTGCATGATGTGCTAATGCATTTATAGGTATTGGTTCACAGTGATAGTTTTCTCATGAACCTGAGAAATGCCCAAGTTTTTAGTGAAACCTGTGCTATGTAGTATCCTATATTTTTTCCCCCTGAAAATGCTATAAAGGAATGCTTTGTGGGAATGTACAACTTAACTCTACCACCCCCACCCTCAACTTTGTGATATAAGGATGAAGGATTCATATTATTCTTTTTAGCTTACTCTTCACTTACCTAGGTACAAGTTATTTTAACTCTAATTGCACCTTACATCATTACGATTTACAGCTACTTTCCTAAATAAATGTTGCATACTCTTTTCTGTAAATATCTCATTGTATTAATAGAATCCATTGGCCAGCAAGCGTGTATTATTTTAACTTTTTATTGTGCACGTTTTCAAACGTACACTGAAGACAGAATAGCATAATGAACTCTCACCCAGCTGCAGTAGTCACCAATTTTGTCATCTTTAACCACGTTGTTCTATGTCTCCTTCCACCCCCTCCCCCCAGTCATTTTGGAGCCAATACATGTATCACATGATTTCATTCATAAATACTTTATTATTTTTTTTTGAAGATTTTATTTATTTTTTTGACAGAGACACAGCGAGAGAGGGAACACAAGCAGGGGGAGTGGGAGAGGGAGAAGCAGGCTTCCCGCAGAGCAGGGAGCCCGATGCGGGGCTCGATCCCAGGACCCTGGGATCATGACCTGAGTGGGAGGCAGGCACTTAACGACTGAGCCACCCAGGCGCCCCTCATTGATAAATATTTTAGTATGTATCTATGTAAGATACAGACTACTTAAAAATATATACAATATCATTGTCACACTTTAAACATTGACAATAATTTTTTATTGAAAAGGGATTTAAATATACTTTTGAAAAATTGTAAAAAACATAAAATTTGTCATCTTAAATATTTTTAAGTGCACAGTTCGTACACTTAAGTGTAGTGTTAACTGTATTCACATTGTTGTACAAGAGTTCTCTAGAACTTTTTCATCTTACTGATACCCATTGAACAAAAACCTCCCGTTTCCCCCTCTTAGCAGCAGCGGGCAACAGTTATTTTAATTTTGGTTTTAGGTTTTTGATGTTAGCTACTCTATACAGTATAAGTGGAATCATACAGTATTTGTCTTTTGTGACTGGCTTACCTAGCATAATGTCCTCTAGGTTCATCAGTTTTGTGGCATATAGCATGTGACAGGATATCCTTCTTTTTAAAGGTTGACTGTTCTGTTATATGCATATACCATATTTTCTTTATTCATTCATCATTGAACATTTAGGTTGCTTCAATCTTTGGCTGTTGTGAATAATGCTGCATTGAACATGTGTGTGCAAATCTCTCTTCAAGATTCTGCCTTTACTTCTTTTGGGTATATACCCAGAAATGAGACTCCTGGATCATATGGGAACCTCCATATGGTTTTCCAGAGTGGCCGAACCATTTTCCATTCCCACCAAAAGTACACAGGGGTTCTGATTTTTCTCTACATTCTTTCCAGCACTTTTTATTTTCTGTGGTGTTCTCTTTCTCCCCTCCCTCCCTCCTTTCTTCCTTCCTTCCTTCCTTCCTTCCTTTTTTCTTTCTTTCTTGGTAATGAACATTCTGATGGATATGAGATCATGACAGTAATTTCTTAATATCACTAAATAGCCGTTTAGTTTAGTTTTCCTCATTTGCTCATAAACGGTGTTTCTACAAAATCCATACATATTATATTTGGTTGGTATGTACATCTTACTCTTCTACCTCTTTACTTGCTGCATTTTTTCCCTTTTAATTTATTTGCCATGTGAGGTTTCCTCATTCTGTGTATTGTTAATTGCATCCCTATAGTAAAAAGCCTCTCTTTCCCTTGTGCTTTTTTGCAAATCAGTAGTTATATCTAAGAGCTTAATCTAATTCAGGTTTTTCTTTCTTTATTTTGTGGTGTCAGGGTGACAGAATATTTCATAAGGAGGTCCTTAAGACGTACATATTTGTCTGTGATATTAGGTGACTTTTGACCACTGCTTAGATCTCTTATTTCAGTGAGAACATGCAAGATGTTGATATCCTAATTATATCAAGGGTTTTAAGTGTCATTGAGCTCGTGGATTTAAATATTTTATATGTTTATTGCATTGCAGTTTTTATTCTTATTATGATGCTCAAATGGTCTTGGCCAAGGAGCCTTTTTAAGTTGGCTTTTACATAAACTTTTTTCTTTTATATTTTATAATATTACGTATTATTAGATATAAATGTAATAGAAAATAGCATAAATGTATTAAAATATAAAATATAGACTATATAAGTGAAATGTATAAGATAAATTTATAAAATCATATAGAACTATTATATATAATATTGATTTTTATCTTAATATATATTTCTCTATTTAAACCAGTACCACTAACATGATTCCTAAAAATTGCTTTTTTGTCCTATGTCCCACTGAGGCTTACAGTCAAAGTATTGTTTTTACAGTACTCAAAGTAAATCCACTTGTATGATTTTTCTGCCATCTTGTTATCTAGTCACGTCTGTTTATTTCATTTTATTTTTAGTATTTAGAATTTAAGTATTTTGATTTAGTTTTGTTCTGTAATTATATATAAAATGTTTGTTACTTCAAAATAAGATACATTTTTATTTTCTTACTCCCCTTCCAGATAACTGGTTTTTATCTATAGTGCTAGTTTAAAAAAATACAAGCAAACCCATGTACATACTTATATTGGAGATCATCTTATAATGCTGTATAGTCAGTCCTCATTCCTTTTCATGGCTATGTGATAGTCCATTATATGGATGTACCATTCTGTTTCAAGAATGGGAGTTTTAGGTGTGATCATAAATATCCATTATTTTTTTAGGCAATTTGCCAAATTCCCTTAAACATTACGGCATTTTATATTCCTTCCAGCAATGTATGCGGTTGCCTGCTTACTCACTTGCAAACAGTGTATAGTCAGAACTTTTAGGGTGGGGGTGT